ATATAGAAATACCACTGTTAAAATAGTACTCAATACATCAATTGTAGAGCGACATAGAAATACCACTGTTAAAATAGTGCTCAATACATCAATTGTAGAGCGATATAGAAATACCACTGTTAAAATAGTGCTCAATACATCAATTGTAGAGTCATATAGAAATACCACTGTTAAAATAGTGCTCAATACATCAATTGTAGAGCGATATAGAAATACCACTGTTAAAATAGTACTCAATACATCAATTGTAGAGTGATATAGAAATACCACTGTTAAAATAGTACTCAATACATCAATTGTAGAGCGATATAGAAATACCACTGTTAAAATAGTGCTCAATACATCAATTGTAGAGCGATATAGAAATACCACTGTTAAAATAGTACTCAATACATCAATTGTAGAGAGATATAGAAATACCACTGTTAAAATAGTGCTCAATACATCAATTGTAGAGCGATATAGAAATATTAATAACAATATTAGAACCTGAAACATGTTGTTAGTCTTTATATACAGATAATGAAATAACAATACCTCTCTAATAAAACAATACAACTAGGTAACAACTCTTCACAATGGGCACCAAATTTAGCTAGAGCACTCACAGCAGCTGCAATATAAAGATTGTTGTAAATCATTAAATGACTGGGTGGAAGATTATTGGGTTAGTTTCAAAATGCATTTTGTTTTTTCTCTCATTCCCTTGGTTGCAATCAATTATCTGCTGAGATAGGGTCACTTGTATATTATGATTTCCAATCTGATATAAGTGGTTCTTACAATTCCAGAAAAATTGACTAAACAATGAACATTCAAGTTAATCAGCACTATTTCTACATTTAGGTCCAAATCAGATTTGTTTTTTGTTTTTTTTAATTACAGGAACCACATATATGGCAGGAAATCAAATGATACAAATAAAAACAAGTAAATATTATTTCTAGAAGAAACGCATAAAACAGGGTTTAGTTTTTCTGACTCTAGTCCAGCTGACAACTGTCAAAATATCTGTCAAAATACATACAGATGACAATATTAGAGAGAAATATAAACAAACCTGCTCTGACTGCAGCATTCTCTAATATAACTCTGTTATAGATAAACCTGATATATTTAGAGGGAGAAGGTGTTCTGGGTCCCTCTCTACCCAACAAATGTAAGATTCTAGTGGCTAATACAGTGTGTTCACAATCTTCTATAAATTCACACAAATGGGCCAAACCTGAAATTAAAATAACATTAAATGAAGCTGGTTTCTTACAGAAAAGAAGTTAGGAAAAGATCTTACTTTTGTTTTCACTCTGTTTTCACTTCAAAATCAAAATGTTGCAAGTTAAGGAAATTATAAGGCATGAATAGGCGTAAAATGTGTCTGGTTTTACTATCTTTAGAAGTTCCAAATTCTAGCACATGGTGTCAAGACAAATTTGAGACCAAAATATTCATCTGTCTACAGTTGTGACCTAGAATATTAGTACTTGATGAAATTCATTATTTTAAAACTAGCATAATCTATTAAATGTATACTACCTCTTAAGAGGACCAAAAAATTGAAATTTTTAAACTTGGTCTTTATTCATCAGTGGACCTACCTAGTGTAAAACTATACAACAGAATACCTCTATAATCCAATAAATCCTAAACTAAGTGATAATTATTAAACTAAGTAATTATTTATTAAACTAAGTAATTATTGATTAAACTAAGTAATTATTTATCAAACTAAGTAAGAATTTATTTAACTCAGTAATTTTGGATGTATGGCCTTATATAGAGATTCTATTCTTTAGTCATGGCACTTGGGAAGTCTAACTGATGAATATATACTATTGTTGACCAAGTTTGTGACTTCAAATTTTATGTCCATTCTAAGAGGAAGTGTTCCTTTAATATAATCCACAGGATAAAGAAGAAATTCTTACCAGCTTCTTTTGCCTCAGGATTTTCTTCTATAACAGTAATAATACAATCTACTATAGCTCTCTTATAGTCAAATCCTCCCTATTAAAACAAATACAATATTTTCTTTTTAATCTTTTCATTTACTTTTAACTGGCACTACAAAGTCAAATTCTTAGTGCAACAATTTTTTTTCAGTGCATTGTGACCATAAAATTTCTCAAACTTTCTACCCACTTCCCAACATTTATAACATACAGAGAGACTGGTAAAAAATATGTCCCTATGCATGACAAATTGATAGAAAAAGGTAAACATCAAAAAGGTTACATACCTCATCTCTTAACATTGAAGCCAAGAATGTCATCAGTACATTATGTTTCCTTGGAAACTTGGAACACAATGATCTGAAATTAAAGTTAAAGTACATGAGTTATAGAGTTCATATTTTTTTGAATTGAAGAAACTGATAATAATAATTCACAATATTTACATATATTCAACTTCAGGTGTTCCATTTAGGGGGTTTGATTTGAATTTCGACAGTGAGCTGTGAACACTATTACTGATTGGCTTAGCTAAAAAAAAAATCCCGTTTCAGAGACTAAAGCATGATTGGTCAAAAATATGGTGCAACTGTCCCTTTAGGTAGTCTGGGCTATCAAGACTAAAGTCCAAATTATATTTGAATTTTCCTGATAAAATTACATTTTTTCTTGATTTATGAGGGAATGATGTGGCCTATAATCAGTTAATATGAGCTGAGTTGACAATTTTAACAACAAAAACAAATTCCATACCTGATTGCTTGTACTACAACAATTTTGAATTCATCTGAAATCTCTGACATGAAAGTTGAGATCTGTTTCATCAGTCTATCTACACTAGATTCATTACCAGTCTTTAACAATGTAGTAATAGCTAGTGTAGCAATACTACGATTGACGTCTGTTATCAAATTCTCAAGGTCAAGGTTACAAGCTGTCACTGCTGCTGGATGTTTCATAGCAACCTAAAATCAGATTAATTTCAGTCTTTATCAAACAGGTAGGAACCAAATTGTCTTTTTAACTTTTGCAAAATCCTCACTAAAGGTAATCCTAATTGAAAAAGGAATAATCAGAAATTTTAGTTAGTATAATGAAAAATCAACAACAAATTTAAGTCACTTGAATGCAGAATTCAGAAATAATAGGGTTGCACTCCATTGGTGAGTTCTGAACAGGTTCCGTCCGTTCCAATTCTGCCATCAATCACTATGAAGGTGGAATATGTCACATTCAAAATTTTCCATTTATTTCCTTCTCTGCCATTTTCAATTCTGTCAGCACTCACTATTTTTGTAGGAAAAGTGTTAACTATGTTGCAATTGTTTTATTGAATGTCCGGTTGATTCAGTGAATCCCTATTGTTCAAAACTCACCAATCGAGCAACCTCTGAATGATCAGAATGACATCTAGGGTTTCAAGCAGACTGGATTTGTTCATACACTTAAATCCACAGACATGGTTACTGTTTTTATCGAATAAATTAATTCTTTTTGTTTATAGATTGTATTGCCACATTTTAGTTTTACTGGCATCAAACTGTAAACTCTGTAATGTCCTCAATAAACCAGGTAACAAAAACCCTGCAACAGAAACAAAATTAAACCTACCTTATTCAAAGTTCTAACAGCAGCAAACCTAAGAGTAGGTTTAGGAGAACCACAGAATAATTGTAGTACAGAAACAGCTGGTGTTAGATCTTTAGCTGTTGTATTCTTCATATTAACTATAGCATGAGCTGCTTCATAGATTACCATTTCATTTTTATGACGTAAACAATTCTCAATAAAATCAAACATTGGACTTTCAGATCTAGATAAAACATAAATACAAATATTCAGATAAAAAAAAAAAAAAAACATTGAACTTTCAGATCTAGATAAGACATAAATACAAATATTCAGATCTAGAAAAAATACAAACATTGGACTTTCAGATCTAGATAAAACATAAATACAAATATTCAGATAAAAAAAAAATACAAACATTGGACTTTCAGATCTAGATAAAACATAAATACAAATATTCAGATCTAGAAAAAATACAAACATTGGACTTTCAGATCTAGATAAAACATAAATACAAATATTCAGATCTAGAAAAAATACAAACATTGGACTTTCAAATTCAGATCTAGAAAAAATACAAACATTGGACTTTCAGATCTAGATAAAATATAAATACAAACATTCACACCTAAATAAAACATAAATACAAACACTCAGACATAGATAAAATACAAACATTGGACTTTCAGATCTAGATAAAACATAAATACAAACATTCAGACATAGATAAAATACAAACATTGGACTTTCAGATCTAGATAAAACATAAATACAAACATTCACATCAAGATGTAATACAAATATTCAGATAAAACATAAATACAAACATTCAGAGTTAGATAAAACATAAATACAAACATTCAGATCTAGATGTGATACAAATACAAATATTCAGATCTAGATAAAACATAAATACAAAATATTCAGATAAAGATGTAATACGAATACAAATATTCAGATAAAACACAAATACAAACATTCAGACATAGATAAAACATAAAAACAAACATTCAGACCTAGATGTACTACAAATACAAATATTGAAATCTATATCTAAATGACATATCAGACTTTCAAGTTATGATCAAATAAATCAAACATTCAACTTTCGGATCTAGATGAAATACAGACATTGGACTTTCAGATCATGATCACTACAATAAAACATTGGACTTTCATCTAAAAACATATTTTACAAGGATAATTTCCACCATTCATGGATTCCGTGGTCTCATGAAAACCTCTTGGGAGTCTTGGCAATCGATTTGATTTATTTGCTTGAAATAAGAATAAAGGAAACTTACCCTGCATCTTCTTCTTCTATCAATTTACTAGCAATTCTTATCTACAACAAAATAATAAACTGATATGATGGGGAGGGGCATATTTATCTAAATATTTGTTTTACCAGAGATATCACTCAATTCCATCATCTGTATCAGAATGTAATGTATCATCTGAGTCTAGTGACATAATATCAGTGATAACTTATGGTTAGAATATTAAAAGTGATAAATATCTAGAATGAAAAATCTCCTAAATTTGGAATTCCACAAAGTAGTAGTGCTTAATATCTGAAATAATCAAAATTTATCGCGGCATTTTGTTGATCAAATCATGCATAATTTTCGTGAGACTTTTCTGAAATTTTATAAATTTACGGCAACTCTCTTCACAGCCTCTATAACCTTAAGAAACTGATGTCATTTGAACTCTACAACTGAAACATTTTGAATTGTTACCCAAAATTTATAAAATGCTAATCAATATTTAACTCTGACACAGAAATGAAACAAAATCATTTCTTGTATTATGAACCTTCCATTTTACAACATTCACAAGAGGACACAGGTTAAAAATACTCTTTACTACATAATATACTCCTTAAATAATGAGTAAAGCTTACCAGTAAACAATAAGCATAAGGTGAACGTAGGGAATGCTTACTAAACTTGGTCACCATACGACTCACAGCTAACTTGTCCTTCTTACGAATATGATACAATAGACCAAGAGCATGGTACTGAAAATAAATAGCAGTAGTTCACAAAATAGATAAATGCATTTTGTAAAATTTGGAACATTTCAAACTTACTAGTTAGAATGTAACAGAAATACCAAAAAGTCTAATACAATAAGTTTGTATAAACTATTAAAGGGATTGTAAAGAGATTTTCTAAATTTTGTATGTGTATATATCAGGGACACTGATAGTATCAATTTGGACAATCAGATGCCTGATTGGAATTGTAATTGTTTTTGATGCTATCAGTATCCATGATACACACAAGAAAACTTCTTTACAATCTCTTTAACCTTGGATTAAGTGTATACAAATTATATCAGAGGTAAAAATATGTTTATGTTAGGTTATAAAGTGACCATATTTTAGCTGACTGGATTATCATGTCAAAGCCCAGTTTGGGCTATGAAGATGGACATTGCCATGCAGTATGCCCTCTATTTTCAATGAACAACTATCCTGGGATCTTTGACATGCACAGCCTGTAGTACACAGGTTTCTGCTTTGCTGTCCCATATGATCAACAGCATGATGTTATTATTAGATATAATTTTGACATATTCCAAGAGTGAACCCTGCGAGCAAGAGCCATCTCTCCCAGGTTTGATTCAAAAATATTAAATAACATACCTGTACCATCATATTGTCACTATTAACAGCTTCTTGAGCTTCATTTACCCATCGTTTAGTAACATCTTGACTTCCACGACCTAGATGCTAGAATTTTACAAAAACAACAGTTATTAACTTTTAAATATTCAAAATGAAATGCATTAGGCCATATAGTCTAAAATTCAAATTAAAAGTGCTATTTGTAAGAGTTATCATGATCAAAATAAACAGAATTTTATATGAATTTTTCAGATTTTAGAGAATGGTTTGGGAAAAGTCAATGTAACATCAAAAATAACTAAATTAAATGGAAGTAACCTGTTGCATTTAATTGAAAAACCTGAAAACCAAATCTGCAACACATTCAGCAATAGAACTTAGATATTATCTATGATGTAGATTCAGTGCAGCAATAATAATAATAATCAAAATACACTAAACTTTCTTTTGTTGTCAGTGGAGGCAGCCATATTGCTTAATCACCGATATCAAATTTCGCATTAATAGACCACTGCTAATCTTATTGAAATCATACTAGCAAATCAAAATCAAATCAAACAGGACAACAAAGATAGTGGACTACAGCCATATACGCTTCGCAACTTGATCTTCGTTTTATGAATATGTATACACATACTGAATTTCATTTGATTCCATCAAAAAATCTAGTTTTAAGTGCGTTTACAAGCAAATGTTGACAGACGGACCAACGCCTTAAGTTGCTGATTTTGTCAATGACTCACAGAACACCATGTCATGTGCTATGAAGTAAACTTAACTAGGTAATTATGATATTTGTTTTTGAAGATTTGTTGAATGTGTGTCAAATTTTGAATTTCCAAAACTATTTCATGATCATTCTTACCATGGAAGAAACAAGTGCAGCACTTGAGACAGCAGAAACTTTATCAACTATAGCCTGTTTCATATAACGTTCAATACTCTGTAACATCATTTGCTGAAACAGAATATAAGGTAAAATTTCAATAATGAGTTAGATATGTAAAATTCACATGCACCAATGTCTAGCACAAAAAATAAAGTATTGTATAATGAAGTTGATCTATATATACATGAGCTTCATTTCGAAGGTTTCTGTATCTTTAAAAACTTTAAAACACGGGCAACATCTGTCACCAGGAAGGAATTGGTGCCAGGGCTCAGATTTTGTACTCATTTTGTCATTTCTGACAATTTTGAGGTGCCAAACGTATCAGAATCTATATCTATTTGATTTTTTTTATAAAGACACAGTAAATGAATTAATCTCAGTTGAAGGTTTTGCTGGGGATTAATTATCCCGGATCTCACCCTAACGACGGGGCTGTGTGCAATGTAGGTATTTTCATTTGGGAAGAGGAAATAAATTACAATTAATGTGCACTGATTGTACCACACAGAACATTACTTATCCTGAATCCCTAAGGAAATTACGTTGAAAAACTGTGGTTTTGAACTTTGACCTCAAGGTTACTGATCAAACAAAGTTGTTATAGTCACTAATAAATATTTTAACTAAAATATCTTACATCAGTAATTGAACATAAAGCTCTAATTGATGGTCCTCTAAACTGATCTTCTTTACCAGTCATATCTTTCATTAAACTGTCAAAAAAATATCAAAATTTCAAACTTCATTTTTTATTTTCATTCTCAAGATGAAATGATCAATGTCTCAATAAAGAATTTGTGCAATCTTTAGTCCCAATCTATACATTTTCAGATCATTTAAAAAATACCAAACTATCGCCATATCACGATATATAGATCAGGTGGTCCAGAAAAAACGATAAGACTTTTCATTCCAGGATTACTCATAAAGTATCAGATCATTATATTTTGACCTCTTAATAAGAGACATAAGACATATTTTCACTAACAATTAGTTCCATAGTTTAAGACAATTTGAAACGGCAATATTTTTAAAATTCCTTATCAAAAATTTGAATGTCTAAAGTATTTTTGTAATTTCATTTCATTTTTTAATTGATGCTCATTGATGCTTCACTCCATGTCAGAATTATCTTCAGTATTTCGTCAAGATGTATTTCATTTCATTAGTCTCTGATTCTGTCCTTCAGTTCCTGTTTCTAGATGAAATTTGACTATTCAATGTGAACTTTCTCAACTTAGGCACACTGTAATATATTGGATAGCAAGATGGATGAGAGTTGGTCATTTATCATTTTATATTTGATGCCCCAAATTTTTAAATCTGCAGGCAATTTTGTCTTGGAAAGAGTTTATGGGCAGTTTGTGCTGAAAATAGTGCTCACTATTAACTATTTTCCATTTATAGCTAGTAGATTAACAATGCTAAATTTTGGCATTGAACATTTTGACAAGGAATTTTTTAAATGTTGTTATTTCAAAGTGTTTTAACCTATGAAACTAATTTTTTCTAAAAACATGTATTATTAAGAGGTCAAAATATAATGATCTTAGCTTTGATGAATCCTGAAATGAAAAGTGTTATTGTTTTTTCTGTGCCACCCGAAATATCATGATATATGTATAATCACTATATATCAATTACTATATATTTACTATATGACAATTACTATTTATCAATTACTATATATATCAATTACTATATATCAATTCAATATATATATGGTAATTATCAATGAGTTTCTGTCAAATTTTTGTCTGATAAAATCATTTATACAATATTTACAATAACTTAATATTTCATAGAGATAATTATTTCAGGCTATTGAAGTTGTTTTTGAAAGACATTGATGGTTATTCTTACATTTAATTTCATTTTTTTGTGTGTGTGTGAATAGAACAAACATTTTCTTTCAAAAACTGGTCAAACCATGCTTAAATTTCACACAATAAAAATAAGTAATGATATATTAATGATGAATATTTAGTTATTCACTTGAATCAATACTACCAATTACTTGTACTAAAAGAATTGTTCCATTATTATAAGAGCACAGTTTACCTGCTGGTGACAATAATAACATCATTAGCTATTTTAGACATCTCCTTTATACCTAGATATACCAGTCTTCTTAAAGTTGTCTGAAATAGATACATATATAAATAATTATAACATTGATACAACCACCGGTACTATGAAATAAAGGGTGCTATGGTACTAGCTGATTAGTACCTTGTTTGATCATCATGATAATACCATATATAATACCACTAATCATTAACTGATAGTAACCATTCAATAAGGCACTAGCACAGGGTTAATTACTGCCTTCTCCTGAAGGCTTCATAAGAAACACCGTAGAACTCATCTGATATACATAGGCTTGCGGCGAGTCTCGCAAGCGAATACGCCCAACAGCAGCTTGATAAAGAGCTAAATGTGAACTGTAAAACAAACTCTATATTGTAGCCTTAGGGTGAGCACGAAAAAGTAAATAAACACGAAATCAGAGTTTTATGCAATAACTCTAAAGAAAATCATCGGATCATCACCAAATTCAATAGTGTACATCTTCATAATGATATTGACACACATACAAAAGATTAAAAGAATCAATAGAGAATTGTAGTCTGTAGAGTGAGCACTAGCCAAAAAAGTGAAAAAAAAAAAAAAAAAAAATGAAAGCGATATCAGAGTTTTATTCGATATCTCTAAAGAAAATCATCGGATCATCACCAAATTCAATAGTGTACATCTTCATAATGATATTGACACACATACAAAAGATTAAAAGAATCAATAGAGAATTGTAGTCTGTAGAGTGAGCACTAGCCAAAAAAGTGAAAAAAAAAAAAAAAAAAAATGAAAGCGATATCAGAGTTTTATTCGATATCTCTAAAGAAAATCATCGGATCATCACCAAATTGAATAGTGGACATCTTCATAATGATATTGACACACATACAAAAAATCAAAAGAATCTATAGAGAATTGTAGCCTGTAGAGTGAGCACGAGGTAAATGTGAACGGACGGACGGACGGATGGACCGACAGGGGCAACCACAATATACGCCCAAACTTACGTCCTCTATGAATTAACAAAGATATGTAAAGATAGCATACTTACATCTTTTGATTGAAAAAGTTTGGTCATGGCAAAGAATGCCTCTGTTGCTTCTGTAGCACCAATTGTCTCTCCCTAGAAAATATATCAAAATACTCCATCTAGTGCTAGGTATTGCCAATCATGCCACGAAACAATAAGTATCGTGATACCAGGGTCACAATACAATACTTATAGCAATATGGGATAAAAATTTAACACCAACATTTTCAAAGTTTCAATAATGATTAATTTATAACTGTGATATTTGGTGATGTAGTGGATAAAAGTTGTCAATGTCCACCAATACTCAATCAGTGAGAAACAATTTGTGATTCCATTCATATTCACAAAATAAAGTGAAATCCAATAGTTTTTTAGTTGAAATAAACTATAGAGTTGAACAAAATGTATAAACATCTTTAAAGATGGGTTTCCTCATTTTTAGTGACAAATTAAGCAAACTATTTGATTAATTGATATCATTATGTTCTTATTGCATATAATTAAGAGTTTTTACCAATTATAAATGCCCATGCATCACTCATTGTAATTTTCCTGGTAATTCTCTTCTAATTTAGCTAATTATGAATTAATTATGGACATGTGAGACAAACTGGTATTTTTCCAAGTCATTAGACCACCTCTACTTTCTATTTACATAAGTATTACCATTTTCATAAATGAAAATAAGGGAACCCATTCAATTATCCACAATTCACTATTTGAAGGTTGTATAAAAACATATTAAAAAGTGACAGAGATTGTTTCAATAGTGCCTCAATATCATTGTCAAACTAAAAGCGTTATTAAACTAGCTCTTCTATGAACAATCAATTTGTACGGTACATAAAAAAAAATATACCTGGTTGATTAGGTAGAGAATTTTGGTAAGAATGTGACCACATTTTCTAGGGTTAATTGGTGTTTCATTAAATGTACGAGCCTAAAAAACAAACATGATACATTGTGAGTTATCAGTAATAACATGATATGAAATACAATACAGTTTTCAACGAACATGCTTAAATTAAGGTGACCAATCATTAAGATATTGAAAGCTTGCTATACTTTGCCATTTTGAGCCACCACTCATTTTTATCTAGCAACAATATTAGCAGTCAAACGATCCTATTAACTATTCCAGCTCACCTCTTGTAGTACACTGCTCTTTTCTAAATTACTGAAGGGATTTCCTCCTAAAATAGATTATAATTCACTCATAAATTATAAACCTGCAAATCAAAAATACTTACAATCTTAAAACCTTCAAAGATGGGTTTTCACATTCACTCAAATCAAGCAAACAATATCTATTTGATTTAATTGGCTGAGATTCAAAATTGATTAGATGCATGTGCATCAAACCAAAGCCAATCAACAGGCCATTGACACTATTTTCTCCACATTATTGCCCATATTTTATTGATATTGACAGTACTCCAAGACTATCAGTACAATTTAGAAGTTGATATTTAAAATACAGATATAATTTCGGAAATTGGATTCTGTTATTATTGACATTGTAGTCTGCCCTACAGTACACAGAGTAGGGTGCCCAAAGTAGGCCTAGTGACTGTTGGCTAGCCTAGTAAAACAGAAAATAAATCAGAATCGTTGCTTAGATCTGAGGGAAGGTCTTATGAAAGAATTGACATACCATCCTCTTCCTCCTTTTTATCTCTTTTTAGCATCATAAATGGATAACTTTCTACAAATGTGAAATAATGAGTGATAAGACTGCTTTCTCTGCTTCTTAGTTCTTCTTTTTAATTTTTTTTAATGACACTCCATTTACCACGTCAACTTCATTACAGTGCGCATGTCCAGTACTAGATATACTTCCGGTTAATCTGGGTTATCTTTTCATAAAGACTACAGACAACAAATAAAAAAAATTATCTCCCTTTGACCGTTAATTATTAGATTCATTTTGTAATTTTTTAACTCTTTGGCAGAGCGGATTTATGTAGGCTACGTCGACGCTTACCAACAGAGATAATAAAGCCTGTAATCTACATTAGTTTTTGATTCTCAATTTACAAACATCTCTTCAACTTAAAAGGGATAGAGGCGTAACTTTTTTTTATCAATCATACTTTAGTCTGAGCAGAAATGGGCATATTTTAGCTAAGCCAATCAGTATAGTGTTTACAGCTCACCATCGAAATTTGAGCCTTCAAATCCAGGTCTGTCCAGAATTATTATTTTTAAAGGGATCATGCAATTTTCTCAAATTTCTAGTAGCCTACTTCTGAAGACTATTTTTACATTAAATTAAAACTCAAAATTGGCAAGTAGGATTTAAACAGGCTTATATTGTGTTATAAGCTTGAAGCTTAGCCTACACCAGCCCCTTAACCCATAGGCCAGCATTACAAGTGTAGGAAAGTTTCAGACGTCAGACACCACTCACTTTTATTAGAGCCTATATTGTATAGAATGTTTATGTAGGCCTTTAAAGGAATAACATGCACATTTTTATTATCTAAAACATTTTAAATTATACACGAAAAGATCTATTTGATCAAACTGAATTTGTTTTTTGGGTTAATTAAACATGATACGCACGCATGCAGGCTGATATTTTTTTGTCAATTAAGCAGTTTGATTAGTTTTGGTGTTTGACTTTATTATGACTCGATATTTTAGTTAAAACCTTTAGATAAGTGTGTAGGCGACAAATTACACCACAATTTGGCGTTAAATTTCATTTGACAAAAATTCGTTACTTTTCCAACAACAACCAAAAAAAAAAAAAACACCGACGATTAAATGTTAACGTAAACCTTGTGTGGGCCTAGTTTCAGCTTTCTAAAATTAACGACAAGATACTTTAAGTTAAAACTTTTAGAAAAGTTAAGGGACAAAATATGGTGTATAGTTTAGGCTATCATAAATATTAGCCAAAAAAATTTCCGACCTACACAATTAGGCTGCTCCTTTAAAGGAATGCTTTATTTTAAGATGCCAAAAATTGGATATTTTAACTTGGCCAAAATGAATCTATGTTCATCAGTGGACTACCCCTACCTTAGTCTCCTCACCATTATTCAATAGAGTCCCTAAAACTAAGTAGCCTAGGCATATTTGTTCATATAATACAGGTAGGCCCTATTTTAGCCTATTCTAAAAACATAAATATCTTTAAGTGTTTTTTCAATACCCGGTAATTAATTAGTTGACTTGAATTATCGGGTTTCTGTTGTTTAGTTAAAACGACACCAGGTTAAGTCCACGTATGGCAATATTGGTCAAATTTTAGATTTTATAAATCTTAAATCTAGATCTTTTCCTTTAAGAGCAATTTCAAACCCCTTTCTTATATGTAACTTCTCAGAATTAAAAATCTGACTGAATATTTTAACACTGTGATTTGTCAACATCTTTTTTCTTGGTGTTAAAGTAATTCATAAAATTACCTGTTCGTCAAAGATATCTATATATATTTTTTTAAACACCTATTAATCATTAATGAATGCAATATGTTAATGCCTACTGATTGGAATAACATTAGAGATTAATAAGTAGCATTGTTTCTCAACTACAGAAGTGATTTAATTAATTTATAGGGTAGATAACAGTGAACCGTTAATCACAACAAAGTGTGTAACGGAAAATTAAAATGAAAGTAGTGTTTATGTTTACCCACGTGACCCCAGTTTCCATGACGTCACCAAAATGACGTTGTCGAAGTAGGTCGCACTTGGCAACGCAGGGGCCATTATTGTCTTCAGGAAAATAGCAACAGTGTTTATTAATCAATCAGTTGGCCCGAGCAACTTCAAAGTTTTAATCGAGCTATTGTTATTCTTCAGGAATCATCAGTCAACAATTATGTAGCGAAAAGGAAGTTAAAATTGTCCCAAAAAGGGCGTTACAAGATAGTGTTTTTATGGAAGTATGTCCATTCGGGTCAAGCCGCTGTCTGTACAAAAGACAACATTTTCAATGTTGACAACTGGAGAAATGTATCCATCTCATCATCATACCCATGATGCTACCCACCATCTACCACCTCTCGCCAGTCAGACAGTCGGTGCTACATTAAGTACACATGGAGGCAGTAAAGACAGTGTGAAAGTGCAGCAGTTATTCGAAGATCATCATAATAAAACCAGTGGAATCGACAAAAGCCAAGTCCGGGAAGTTATTCAAAATGGCGACCAAGATCAGGGAAGAACAAATTCAAAGAACCAAGTTACTTCAGTCGGTATGCGACCAAGCTCTAGTAATACTAGTTTGGTCAGTAAAGGTGGTTCAGCAGCAAGGAGGAGTAATTCTATGAGCCCAGAGGTGGCTATGAAACAGTACATGCATAAATTGAGTTCTTTTGAACATCATGAAATATTTAATTATCCTCAAATTTACTTTGTTGGGCAGAATGCTAAGAAACGACAAGGAGTTGTTGGTGCTGCCAGTAATAATGGATATGATGATGAAAATGGATCCTATGTGCATGTACCTCATGATCACATTAGCTATCGTTACGAAGTGTTAAAAGTTATTGGTAAAGGAAGTTTTGGTCAGGTTGTGAAAGCTTATGATCATAAGGCAGGGGCACACATAGCTTTAAAAATGGTTCGCAACGAAAAACGATTCCATCGCCAAGCGCAAGAAGAAATTCGAATATTGGAACATTTAAAGAAACAGGACAAAGAAAATACGATGAACATTGTTCACATGTTAGAGCATTTCACTTTTAGAAATCACATTTGCATCACATTTGAACTTTTAAGTATGAATTTATATGAACTTATCAAAAAGAACAAATTCCAAGGATTTAGTTTACAGTTAGTACGTAAATTTGCACATTCTATTTTACAGTGTTTAGATGCCTTGTATCGTAATCGTATTATACACTGTGATCTCAAACCAGAAAACATTCTCTTAAAACAACAAGGGAGAAGTGGAATTAAAGTCATAGATTTTGGATCAAGCTGTTATGAACATCAGAGAATCTATACATACATTCAGTCTCGGTTTTATCGGGCTCCAGAGGTGATTTTAGGAACTAAATATGGCATGGCTATAGATATGTGGAGTTTAGGATGTATTTTAGCAGAATTATTAACAGGTTATCCATTATTTCCTGGGGAAGATGAAGGTGACCAATTGGCATGTATTATTGAATTATTGGGAATGCCACCCCAAAAAATATTGGATGTTTCAAAGCGAGCTAGAAATTTTATTAGTTCAAAAGGATATCCTCGTTACTGTTCTGTGACAACTTTACCAGATGGAAGTGTAGTATTAAATGGTGGACGTTCTCGTCGTGGTAAACCTCGTGGACCACCCGGTAGCAAAGAACTTGTGACAGCTTTAAAAGGTTGTGATGATCCCATGTTTATCGACTTTATGCGTAGGTCATTGGATTGGGATCCAAATGTTAGGATGAACCCAAGTCAAGCTTTAAGACATCCTTGGTTGAGGAGAAGACTTCCGAGACCACCACAAAATGAAAGCAGAGCAGATTCAGGAGCAAGGCGTAATTCTATAGGTACTCGTGGCTCTGGGATGCCAAAACTTTCAAATGGAACAGTTTCTAATAGTGCAAAATCAGGTGCACGATTAATAGCCGTGCAAGATGACATGAATACACGAACAAAATTACCCCAAATAGGTTCCACCTTATAACATTGTATACCACTTTAATAGCTTGTGAATCACTGTGTGTGTGAATTTTAAATTATTTATAAATAGAGATTGTGTATATTGTCAATATTATTTGTGATCAAAAAAATCAATCAAGTACATCGTAGACTTCTACTGGTGGACAATAATATACTATACCAGAATAGAGTACGGTATGCAGATAGACAACCGTCCATGCATTCATCCTGCTATATATTCACAATAATAATAAAACTATCGAGTGGAAACTATTATTTATTTGACTTTAAAGGGAATTTTCAGTGAATATTATTGATATCAGAAGACATTTAAATGATATTTTATTTCAAAATCAAAACTGAATAGGGTTTTTTAACCCTGTAGTTCGAGACAATGGAATTATGAAATAAATTGACTAAATTAACTTTTCATAAATTTTAAAATATTGCAGAAAATTCAACTCTGAGATTCATATAAAAAACATGTCCTGATAATGAATTGTAATTTTGCTGGTTTTTCCCTTTAAATAAGATCAAGTGTGTTTGTGTGTTAGAAACACATTGTAGTGATATTTAGAACAGATCAGGTTGTATAATGATTTTGCCTGAGGTCATTGAGTGAAGTTAAAATACCAAGTATTCAAGTGTACATATCTCTTCAATCAAGTTGTGAACAAGCCAATACATGCCAAATCAACTCAACACATTCTTTATGGTATGGGATATTGATCATTTGATTTTTATTATTTCATATCTGTGTAAAGTGTTTGATTTTTAGAAATTTATATTTTTTATCTGCAGTAATTAACTAAATGCCTCTATGAACTAGCACCATATGACTAAATGAATTGCAACTTTTGTTAAGGTCTTTTTTAGTGCACCGTATTTACCTAAACAAGCTAAATGTTGCTTTTCATATAGTTTACATAACTACATAAACCAATGGTAACATATCATTGAACAACTTCAACATTTACAAGTTAAATTATAGAGGCATTTATTTACATATTGCCTTTTATCCCAGCACATAATTATTTTTATCTTGAGTATATATTTTATTGTATGTCTTGCTTGTTTTGAGTTGAGTTTTAAGTGATATTGGATATTTTATGTTGTATAAGAACGGAGTCCAAAAGGATAAAATATATTTTCACCATCTCATTTTAGAAGGTTTTTTGTCATCAGTTTTATCATTCAACTTAATTTTGTTGTAAAAGTTCACCATAAAGGTCATGTTTGATTGCAAGAAATCTGTATCTAGACTTTGTTTCAAATATTTGATATAGGCTAATAAGGATTTTTGTTACATTTCTTTTTTTTTTGGTAAGCTTATAGAGAAGTTCTCCGCAAAATAAGCTGCAACTTTGCTAGCCAACTAAAATAAATATTCATTGTTAGGCTGGAGGCAGATGAGCGTATTTTATCGCCGGATAGCGACGATTTTAAAATTGCCCAAAAATTACTCTCATATGTCCGCTCATGTCGACAACGATATTTTACACCTGTACAAATCACAAGCATAAAAAAATGTTTGATATTTTCGACCGATTATATACGTTAAGGACTAAAATCGCTCGTTTGCCGGTGTCTGGTCTATTTTGTCGGGCTATCAATAATTCTTAAACCAATCTGATTTAATGCTGATATCATGTGACGTTCAGAATGGCTGCCTCATTTTTTAACTATCATGTAATCAAAGGCAAAATTCCGTGGAGTGATTATTCACCACTTCTGCCCCTTCTTGATTGGGTGGAAAAATTTGCAGGTGATTTTAATTGACGTGATTGTTGTAATAATAATATGCTTGTCTCAGGATTAGGAAGAATAATAGAATTTGATCAAAAGTTGTATGGATTGCATTAGATTTGACATGGATCAAAAATTTGTTTACACTATCTTTAGCACCCACACATATGACCTGGAATACATACTTGGTATCGGGTGGTAGGATATTGGTGAATCTGAATTATCCAAAACATTCCAAAAGAGAGAAAAATGTTTCTTTGTGAGCTGATGAAATTAAGTTTTCAAATCTAGATTCAAATTTTTTCAATCAGACAGGGCCAAGAAGTAAACTGTGATGTATTTTTTTTTTTATTTTATATTATTTTATCAGGGACCATATCTCTTTACTTTATTGTAAAATCAACTATTTTCAAGTTTTAAAACGGTCAAATTGTACATTGGTTTTAGTTTGTGTGACAGATTTTTTATTTTACCTATCTTCAGTCTGTGTCTATTCCTAGCAACATCAAAGTTTTTCAAGAAACACAATAGATGATTTATTTTGTAAACATGATCTAAGTGAAAACTATAATATACATATACTGTGAGAAATAAATTTCAAACAAAACTCAGCATTATAGTTAGTTTTTATTTACTTCAGTTACTGTCTGATCTTTGTTGTTTTTGAAGTTTATCAATATTGTTTACATGAATTTTAAATAAGTTTCAATCCTTTCATCTACAATTAGGGCATCAGTTGATTGAAATTTTAGCATTTTATTCCAATGGGTCTATATTCTAAAAGACATATTATATGATATTTATGAAAAGCTTTATGATGATCTTTGTGAAATAACAAACATAGGATTAATTCAGAAACCACAGATATTAGACAGTAGCTCAACCTGAATTTTGCCAGTTTAATATATGTATGTGTAACAGGAACACATGATAGCATTGATTTGCAATTCAGTCAGACACCTGTGGTTTCTACTATTCCACAAAAACCAGGTGTTTTATAATGTCACTTTCACAAAAGCTGATATTATATAAGACCCTTTCGATAATGATGTCATTAAATGCTTGCAAGAACCACTTCTGATGTCTACCTGCATCCTTTTTCAGAATGAAAGGCTCTCATGTTTTATGTCTCAGGGCTAAAAAATACACTCTAAACGTTGGTGTCCACACCATGGAGAAAATAAACTCACTTGACCAGATGAAAATTTAAAAGATCAAATCATGCAAAACTGAGCAGTTTCTGAAGGCAAAGATGTTTTACATTACTGAAATTACATGATATACTTCAGAATGCATCATTTTATGCTCAAATTTTCAAATTTCCTTACCTGCAGCAGGGTTTGACACCCCCCCCCCCCCCCCCCCCTCCTCCTCTAACAAAAATTCTGTGGAGGACCTTTATTCTGGGAATATATAAATATACTTGAATGGCTCCATAATGGTTTAATTCATTTACAACCCATGGTTTTATTACCAAATGCTGTGGATTTTGATTGGGTTGATCACTAGAGCTAGACATAACATGTCTGTTATACTGGTTTCATTGTTTTTATGAAGCTATTACAGGTACTCCTAGTACTATTAAAGCCATGTTGTTGGCTATTTACCAACTTCATATTGAAATCCCTTTCCACAAAGCAGTTTTCAGAATTAATATCTGGTAACAGGTTTGTCTGCATTTGAATAAAAACTGAAGCAATAGTGTCTAATTTTGGTATACTTTAAAATAACTCACTCTCATGGGAATGGATATTCGCCACCCGGATGGCAAATAGTCTACATAGATACATTTGGCTATTCGCCACCCTCTCTTATGTGAAGATATAATATATATTACAGCATCTTCACAATGTCCAGCTATAACCGATTTCGATTGGATTGTACACTAACGAATACAGCCAATCATAGTCGCCTACATGTGTATAGGGGACACTTATAGCATCAAATTGCTAAATTCCAATTTTCATACTAAAACTAGACATTTTATGACGTCACTATCGTAAAGGGTCGATTTTGCGACAGTGCCGTCATCAAACGCTTAGTAAGTATTACTAAGTGAAATNTAAGTAATCACAGACGTTTGACTGAAAATCGGAATGGTGCAAATTGATGCTATAAGTGTCCCCTATACACATACAAAGTTTAGAAAACATCTTTACATGACAGATTTTCACCTCCTCATAGATAACATATTTCGGTCCTTCTTTGTTCTAAGTAGTGAGAAATAGCCAGCCATTACAACAGCTGGGATGGTGTATTATAGTTAATTAATCGTACAGACATGTATTCCATATCCCCCTATATCAGATGCAGGGTCATGACCTGTTCTTTGTTATTTCATGAGATAATAAGATTCAAGATAAAAATCAATATGAATATTGGTCGAGTGTGCTCCACATGATTATGTTCATGTCAGCAACATACCACCAGTTGCCAACGTATTTTAATCTAAAATTAGATTTACAATTTCGCATCTTTTCCGTTTTCTGATATTTTTTATTCTCAATGGTAATCTAACAAATTTTCTACCAAAGATACGCTCCAAATGTAGTATTTTTAACCTTCAACAGAAAACCCCAAAAAAAACATACCAAATTGTAATCTAATTTTAAATAAATTGGCATGAACGAATTATAAAATCTGGTCTGGAAAAGACCTGACAAACCAAAACAACAAACAGATCGGGAATATTTCTAGCTGGGCGTGAGGTTAAACTCTGGAACATTCTCTCATGCCTTGAGTTTTATGAAGGTCAAAAGACTAATGACCATGTACCTTTCGTAATGAATTAAGCCATATCAAGTTGAGACTTAGGCTATGATGGAAATAGTCATTGGTTACTAAGGAGTGGTTGAAGAAAACCATCTATAATTTAACCGCTCAAGTTAATTAATTAGATTCGTGATCAATAAACCATCAGACAACAAGTCATGATATTATTGTAAATACAGGGTAAACTATATGCTAGGCACATGTCAATCAGTGGCGGCGACCCTACATTCTAGATTGGGGATGCGCTGAAATGAAATGTGTCGCGCCCCCTAGAAATTGGGTTGCACCCCTAATTGCACTCCTACTTTATTGTCAACAAATTTTGGTTGGTTGGTTGGTAGATGACAACTTAGCGCTCGCTTCCAGTTGATGCTGATATCGCAAACTAGGTAGTCGGAGTAGTTGGATTCCCCATTCAGTCAGTCTGCCCCCAGTCTCCGGAGGATGGAGCCGTCACTGTATAGCTTGACATTGTTCATTTTCTATGACATCAATAAATATGAGAGA